TTTGACTAGTTGAATACAAGTCTTGTTAAGAGTACTCAGTTGTGAAGTTGAGAGAAAAGAAGAGTATAAGCGATAAAAGAGGCGGGAAGTAATAACATTATTGATTTTATAGATTGCTTGTTTCTCTGTTATATGAGCAAATTATACCTTTTTTAGGTTAATTATAGCTTTTGCAATAATTTCCTTCTGTACTGATATCGGCTTTCCACTTGTTAAGAACCAGGCAACCAGATAGTTGAACGGTGTTCTGTTCTTGATTGCTGTTAACTGTTCATTGTCGAAGAGTATAGATTTATCTGGAGTTGTTGAGTTTGTTGTTAGAATAGATTTGTGTGAGTTGACTTTAATACTGGCAAATTTGTAGAAGGAAGAGGCTATGTGAAGGATTTTAGTGAGTAACTCTTTGTTTGGTGCAATTCAAAGGGAATCATTCATATATGCCATTACTGATGTGTGGATTTTTTTTGGTGGGGGGTTGCTATTTTATTATAGAATCCCTGATGTTCTTTGTGTATTCTGGTTATTAGTAAGTTGTAATAGATTTTCTACAGTAAAGAGGAAATTGTTTCCCCTTGGTCTACCCCGTCTTCTACTGTATAGAGTGTGGTTAAGCCTAAACTTGTAATGACTCTATTTGTGCGATTTTGAAGCAGATATAACAACAAGTTTATAGCTTTTTCAGGAATCCATATTCTTGCGAGTGCTTTCTGTAGAGTAGGTATATGGATAGAGTTAAAGGCCTTTGACATGTCTTGTGAAAGGATTCAAATCTCTTGTTGTATCTTCGAGTATATAAGTAAGTTGAGAGATTGGTTGAAGTGTAGATTGAAAAGGAAATGCTGCAAAGTTATGAGGTGAAAGCACTTGATTGCGAACAAGGATGTTTGTAAGACGGTTTGTCAGAATTTTTGTAAAAATCTTCCTGGTATGGTCAATTAATGTGATGGGTCGAGTGTAGTTAAGCTCATAGTTGTAGTGCAGTTTTTTTGGTATAGGCCATATATTGGCTATCAACCATTCCTTTGGAACTACTTCCTGTGTTAGGCAGCTATTTAGA